TTCTGGCTGCTGACTTGGCTCTGAGGGAAGTTAGCTCCCAGCTCTGTGTTCCCACTCGCCTGCAAGCACAGCAGGAGTGGGAGCTGCTACCTCTCCTGCAAGAATAATTTCCATCTATTTAAAAAACTGTGATTCACAAATCATGAGAACTCCAAATTTAGCAAAGCAGATTTTAGAAAAGCAGGAGTCCTGCCCCTTCTCCCCACTTGCCCTCAGATCTCAGGAGAAGCCTGAGCCTGAGAAAAGCCATAAACCCACCAGCTCTCCAGGAGCTAGGTGCAGGCTGGAGAAACTTTGCTTTAGAAGAAAATTTGATTTTTATTTTTTTTTTAATTCAGTTAGGAAAGGAATGAGAAAGCAAGCATGCAAGATATACAGGTCATTTAAGAAGAAGCGTGTAAACAGCATTTTTATCAGGTCAACCTAGAGAAGATATGATAGTTACCTTGACAAAAATGCTTTATCTCCCTTACTGAGATCTGCATGATAGACTAACTGGCAGAGCTATTAATTGATGCTTTGTATTTCTGATCTCACTAGGGCCAGCAAGCAGTCCTAACGGTTTCTAATTCCTCATCATGACATCCATTATGTTCACCTCTGAGATGTCTAAATGTATTCCATGTATAATGGCAATGTTATGTAAAATGCAACATGACAGGAATACTTAGAATTGTTCAAAGCTGCGATGTGGAAACCAACCTTATTTGTGCTAGCCATCCAATATGGGATTTGCATGTTTTGGTTTTCTACAGGCACACTGAGAAACTCAACTACGTAAGGGTTTAGACATTGCAGGTGGGCTAGTGTTATATCCCTTGTGGCTCCACCATGAACAGAAAATCAAACACAAACAAAAATAATCTATACAGGAAGAACAGGCATGCTGACAGAGATTGTTTGACATTAGAAAAGCACAGCTACAGCTGCCTACTCTTTGTTACAATGTCTACAGTAAATCTGGGATAATGCTCACACAAGAAACAAAGAACTACCACAGAGGACACTTAAATAGGAGAAATAGATTCTGAAAGGTGTCAATTTAAGTAATTTAACTACAGCAAAGGAAAAATAAAACAGTTCTCTCAAATCTGAGCCTTTCAATTACAGAAAGCACCTGTGAGAAAATCAAGCCTTTCTTTGAAGCAGAAAAACGGGACAGTTGTATGACACAGGCAAGAAACTGTATTGATAAAATATACTGTGCTTTGCTTATCTGTGTAGCACAGTGTCAATAAAAAACTTAAATCTACTGTTCCTGTGCCTGAACTGTCAAGAGAGTTGTGCAGGGGGGTTGGACTAGATGATCTTTAAAGGTCCCTTCCAACCCAAACCATTCCATGATTGTGTGAGTCTATGATACAGTCTCTAGCATGGCAAAATGACTAGTGTTCACAGAAACATGTACAGCTCATTGGTTCATCGGTGTTATCTTGCTCTAGTGCCATATTGTAGCTACCTCACGGATCTCACCCAGCCTGGGAAGGTAAGAGAGTAGCCACTTAACAGAAGGGCAAATGGTACTATCCAGAGGGGGCTCTGCAGGTTATGATTACATAGGAAAATTGGTAAGACACTGTTTTAGGACTTGTAGGATTTGTAACTCAAAGATGTTCCAAATCATGCTGAAAACAAACATAGTTTATTCTTCAACCAGCCGAGAGGAAGGAATCCAAGTTTCTTTTGGATTTACCAAAAGTCTGGGAACAAATGCCCAGTCTGAAAAACTCAATGTGAAGAACAATTTGAACACAAAATGAAATATCTGTGATGCAACATTCTCCAACATATCTGAGAAAGACCTGCAGCACTGCTCACACTCCGAATTCATCCACACATAGATTAACTAGTAGTGCTATAGGAACATGCAGAAACATTCCTTTTTGGCTTTGCATTAATGTGTATTTTCTCCCAAATGTCTGCAAGCCATATCTTCCTTTTTTGTCAGACAAACAGAACTTAAAAGACTCCTTATAATGAAGAATTGAGATAGAGATATTAAACATATGCTGTTTTAAGAGCAGCTAGATCATTGGTTCCTCCATATCATCACAAAAACAATAGATACTTTTCTGAAACATATCAGAGCAACATCTGGGGGCCAGAACTGGCAAAATATAAGGTGAGAGAAGAAAGATTAAATGATTTTTTTTTTATTTTGGAATTTCATTTGGAGCTCACTCCAGTCTTTCTCAGCAGAGGATTACAGGCACGTTAGAAAAATGAGTCCAAGAAAAGAACCATTCTTCAGAAAAAGTAGCAAATAAATCGAGGCCTACAGACCTCAAGGGAAGCATTTAAGGTAAATGTAAGTGTAAGAATATTTTAGTTTACTAGGCGTACTTTCCAATCCATTTGTATTAGATGCTTAATGATATTTATTTTACTTCCTTTTTCAGTATTTCTCAGCCCTCTGAAGGAAGAAGTTGGATCTGAAGATGAAGATGCTAAGGAAGATCAGGTAAAGATCACAAAGAAAAACAGTAAAGAAGTATTTCAGAACAAAGAACGGGTAGCTTATTCTGAGTTTAAAAGACCATGTGAAATGTGAGAAGAGCAGAAGAGAAGAATGATACAAATGCACAGTTGAGATTTATAAACAGAAAGGATGAAGAAATTGTTAAAATTTTTTTTTCTTTCTTCCGAATTGTGAATCTGACAGCATACCTTTCCTACTTACACAAGAAACAACAGACTAAACCTCTTCTTGCTTTTGCCCCTTCTCTCAAAAGCCTCAAGCAACCTCTCCACAGAACCACATCCTTTCAGCACTTAAGAAGATGATCCCTAAGCCTGTTAAAGGCATTTTGTTAATAAAATGATTTAGGTAAATTTTTTCAAGAACTTTCAGAGAAACCAAATTTAAACTTCACTTCAAATTTTAGAGTATCCACACTTTCAACATTTGAGAACAAGAAATAAGTAAATCTGGCTTAGCAAAGGGTGAAGCCAGGCTTTATTCTTCCTTCCAGCTACATTGTTCTTTTCGTCAAGCACTTTTTAAAAATAGATTTCTGTGAGATTCTCTGCATAAGCACACCATTGAAACTCCTGTTGGGCAGCTGTGTAAAATAGTCACTTAAGCCACCCTGTATAGGCACTGTGGGCTCTGTACATGTGAAATTTTCTATGGTAAGTTCTTAAAGAAATAATTTTCATAGTCATCAGAGGTTTGATTCATGGCAAGAAGAACATTTAGTTTCTCTTAAGTGAAAAATTATTGCTTGTGTCTTTTGTAAAGACTAAAATCCTGCATATTTCATTTGTAAATCTTAAAAGGCAGAGTAAGAACAGACACACTGGAAATCGAAGTCTTTGTCTGTAACATTTTTTCAAAATATAAAATCCTTGAAGTAGAAAAATAAAAGGAGAGACTTCTTACTTCTTACCTTGGCAAACTCCCTCTATAGAATCAAAAAGAGATAAGCCTACAAGGGAGGAAGAAAATGGAAGAGGATTGTCATAGCAACCAGTTAAGAACATATTAAATACAGGAAACAATCTGATTAATCTCCTTCTTTTTTAAGAACCACAGGACATACTGCACCATCCAGTTGAGTAACAGGACATTTTTAAAAAAATAGTAAATTAAATCTCACTTCATTAAAATCTGTAGTTTATTTGCAGAGCTTTTGACTCATTCAATGCATATACAGCTTATAGGGCCATAAATGAAAATGAAAATAGCCAGGTCTTCTGTTTGTTTAAATTACCTAGGCTGTAATTAAGCCCAAAGATTTTTGGTAGGAGACAAAGAAAAGGTGATATTACTTTTAAAAATTAGGAATAGATACTCTTGCACTGAAAATAAGAGTATTAGAAAATTAAACTGGCCCAGGGCTAGAGATTACAGAATGTAATCCCAACTATCCTTCTTTCACATTTTTTTGCAAGCCAATCTACTATGCTGCAGAAATCTCAGTGCCTTCTGAGCAATATCTTCAATTGCCACATTTTTGTTTTAATATTGACATCAGCCATTCATTTAGTCTTACTCAGTCTCAATTTTACCACATGCAGTAATCAAACACTCTACATTGCTAAGTTTAAGATAAAACATACACACTTACTTACTTTCCCTTTGGGGGTAGTCTTGATATAAGTAACACTTTATGAGATGTGTTTCTGAAGGACTTATTTTCAGTCACTACATGAGTTCTCATTGAAGAATTCCAGGAAAGACTCACTAGTAGATCTGGATGGAAAACATTGTCACTCATTAGCAAAACTTTATTGCAAACAAAAGAGCAGGAGACAGCAAACTTTTAATAAAATGTTCCACCTTTTTTCAAAGAAAGCCAAAGTATTAAATACAGCCAAAGATGCTCTTCAAACAGAAAGCTAAAAATTCTGCAAAAAGCCAACACTTTCTTCTGCTAGTAAATAGTTTTGATGGGATTTCTATTTTTCAGCAGAGGAGAATTTGCTCCATTAATAGGACATTTGCTATTCCTCAAGTTTTCAGAACCAAACTGCATTTCCTACAAATCCTTTCCTCTGTGTAGCTGTTTATATTTAAAAAGTCAGGGGAAAATACTGCATGAGCTAAATAAAAAGGGTGTTTATTACATAATTGAAATCTGCAATTATTTTCTAGGAAGTTAAATGCACCTATCTATTTCAGATCCTTCAGGAAAAAGCACTATTATTGCAACTATTAAACCCTGCATATTTCTGAAGTCTAAATTTTTACCCTTGGGGATTCCTTCTTCAGATGCAAGAAAACAAAATGCAGAAATTTATTCCAGTAGAAAGGATAAATTATAAATTTGATCTCACTCATTCATTTGCTTTAAAATGCTTTAACAGATCCTAAACATTAAGCCTAATTCTCCACTCCAACCCCAGGGCAGAGCCAGAGTGTTTACCAAAGCATTAGGTTACATCTACTTATTTCTTGGCAGACCCTTGGGAAGCACCATTCAGTTCCTCAGCCAGGCAGCACAGGGTGGCCCCCAGCCACACAGAGCAGCAAAAGCGCTCCATGTCACCAGACCTGTCCCAAAGACCTGCCCTTTCAAAACTCACACCTCCATTGCACCCCCGTCATGGCCAGACCTCACCAGTGCTCTCCTTACAGCAGCCTGGAGTGGCCACTTGTCCTTTCACCACCATCGCTGTACAGCCATGTGTCCCTCACTATTGCTGCCCCTACTGTTGTCTTCATGGGGAAAAGCTGTGCTCTCTGTCACACAAACTTTTGACAGCAGACCGAGCTGTCCCAACAGCCACAGCTTCCCCACAACAACGGGTGGATTTGGTGGTGGGAGGTGAGCAGGCACTTCACTACTCTACAGACCTGGCAAAATCAGCAACATGTACATTTTTGCGTGATGACCTCCTCACTTGGTGGCCTCACAAATATCTGGTACCTCAATAGCATCTGCAACACAGTACTCACAAAACCAGCATCATGTGGGTTTGCTGCCATTAGTCAGTGAAAACTATCTGAAAGTCAAGGTGACGGGTCTGCTACTGCGTTGCAAGGCCACCCTGCGGACGTGCACCATCCTCCACTGGAGGACCACTGTACCACTGCCAGCCAGCAGGTCCTCAAGCTGAAGGTTTCTTCCGTTCTGTCAACTGGTTTCCTATTCATATTAATTTTGCTACAAAACCAACAGTAAACTACATTCGAGTTTTGAGCCATCACTGTTTGAGGAATGTAAGAGGAACATATGCCCTCTCCTATACAAACCTCTGCTTCCCGCTTTCTCCCTCCCCCTCCTCCCTCCTTCCACACTCACAGGCTTCTTCCACATCCCTGCTCTTGACTGGTCCCAGAAAGTGAATGAGAGTCATGTTTGTAGAACTATGTAAGGTTCAGTTTTGAACTGTCTAACAGCTGATCACAAAAAAGTGCCAGTATGGTAGCCAGTGATAGTAGCAGCTGAAACATGCCCCTTAAAATTGAAAAAAAAACCCCAGAGGTTTGACTTCCACTGTTTCCTGACCAGCTCCACCAGCCTTCTCTACAAACAGGCAAGGTGCTGGCCTGAAAGTGGCAGGGCAGACGTGGGAGGCTGGGAAAGTCCGTGGGGGGTGCATGGGTGTATGTGCTGGGGGTGGAATGGCCGTTTTAGTGGGGAAAAATGTACTTAAGAAATCGCTCTGAATTTCAACAAAAATGCTGGTAACCCCATTCCCCAAGAACACACAGAGAATGGGAACAGGCTCCAGTCCTACAGTTTGTCCATCACGTGATATGGACTTAAAGATTTAAAGATTTATGGCTCATACTTTAAACTGTCGGATGTCTAAGCCTCCTTCTGGTATTTTATGTTCCTGACTACCATAGTTCTTATTTAATGTATTCAGCCTTTCATCTTACAATAGCTAATTCATAAGTCAAATGCTCACTTACTGGATTTCAAGTTAATCATTTGTTGTTTCATGTCTTCTGAGGATTTTGTTAAAACTCTTGATAAAAAGTTCCTGCTATTTTCCTTTTAATACTCGGCTGCATTTAATGAAGTCCCAACAAAGTATGTGTTGAAAGAACATACATCTTCAACTATTGTTGCTTTGTGTTGTCCTTACCTTTCATGAAGGATAAAGTGGTATTATTTATTTTCTGTATAAATACATTGATTTATGATAGATTTATGTTGTGCTTATACAAAATCAGGGATAGCTGAACATATTAGAGAGATTAGGTGTTAAGCACTGAAGAAAAAATGATATTGTGCAAGTGTCAAAATTGCAAAATAGTACTGAAAAGAGAAGGTTTAAAAAGACAAAGCAGTAATATTTTTCTGCTTCTTCCCTATTGTGGGAACAGTGTACTGTATATTAACACAAAATATGGAGAAGCTGAATCCCCACTCTGGAAACCTATAGGAAATTGAACTTTGTTACAAAAACCTCAAAAGTTGGGTTTTTTTGTTTATGGGGTTGTTTGGGGTTTTTTTACATTACAATATAGTAAAAAATTTCCTTTTCTGTATTCAGCCTGAGGATTAGTGTATACAAAAACATCAGCAGAAATCTGCAATCAGTTCTAGAAAAATCCACATGAATTTATCTCCCAAATCTCTAAACAGAGGTTAATGAGTAAACAGTCCTTGAACCGACACTGTATCCTGAGCATACTTGCAAATAAGGACGATCCACAAAACAACAGAACGCATTTAAACAACTTCCAAAGGGGCAGATAAAATGCTTTTGCCAAACAAACAAGCATTATAACAACAAGTCACACAAAGTTCAGATGGAATGAACGTGGCCACTTTAAAGTGGTCACTAATGACAAACTGCCTCCTACAGACATTTCAGTGACAGTGTTGGAACATTTCAGGCCTATAGTTTCAGCAGTAAATACGTTAGGCACTCATGCATTATCATGGTGAAGATCACTAGTAGAAATAAATCAGTGACCTATGACACTATCCATTGGTAAAATAATTTTTTAACCAAGTACGACTGGCAAAATGACCAGTTTGATGGAGAATTTTGCTTTTATAGCTAAAGACTAAGTTGCATGTATACGTCCTTCCCTTCAGTGCAGCTATCTCAAACTTGTGCTTTACTTTTTGACATGAGTAGTCACTT